ATTCGAATTCCGCGCTGCTCCCGCCGCTAGTACTCTGCGCGGCCGGAGAGGGCAGTGCGAACCAGGTGCAAGCCATCGATGGAGTCCAGTGTACCTTTGTATGTATGTGCTCCCAGTTAGAAAGACGATTCGTCGGCGTATGACTGAAGTTGATTTTTGGTAGACTAGTCAAAGCGCTCGTAATCCTCCCCGTTCGACCTCTCACAAACTAAAGAATTTAGGATTCCGGTACGGAACATGCTCCCCCCGTTGAGAGCTTGCGCTCAACATTTAGAATTTGCAGAACTTTCGTCTATGACGGGAAGAAGAGTTATCTTTTTTACGTTCCTCTTCAGAATGCTGTCCCCAGTCAAACCTTATGATTCCATCCTCTCCTGGGTGGATTTCGCTAACTCGACCCATTCTCCACTGCATGGGTGACATATTGTCTTCTCTCAGAATGACGACCGATCCAACACGAATGTTATGGTCGCCAGTAATTCATTTTTGTCTTATGTTCATTTCATTCAGGTACTCCTTATACCATCCTGCCCAAAAATCTCGACGTACCTTTGTATGTATGTGCTCCCAGTTAGAAAGACGATTCGTCGGCGTATGACTGAAGTTGATTTTTGGTAGACTAGTCAAAGCGTCATTAATTAAGAAATGTCCTGGGGTCAAAACTAAAATATCGTTGGGATCGGATGATATCGGTGTGAGCGGCCGTGAGTTAAGTATCGCTTCAATTTCGATGACAAGCGTGTTAAGTTCTTCGAATGTGAAGAGCTCTGTTCCAACCACCCGATTCAAATGATGTTTAAAGGATCTCACTGCGGCCTCCCATATTCCACCGAAGTGTGGTGATAGTGGTGGAATAAATTTCCATTCGATCCCTAAATCGCTTAAATAATTATGGATTTTGCGATGACTGTCGGCGGTTTGTAAATTGCGTACGATTTCCCTTAATTGATTGTTGGCTCCGAGGAAATTGGTTCCATTCTCCGAATTTATAATGGCTGGCTTGCCTCTTCTACTTATGAAGCGCCTCAGTGCTCCAAGGTATCCAGAGGTGCTAAGATCATTAACTAGTTCCAGGTGAACTGCTTTCACAGCCATGCAGATGAAGACCGCGACATACACCTTGATTTTTGTCCTGTTTCTAAATTTTTTCTCTTTTATGAAAAATGGGCCACAGTAATCGACTCTTACGTTAACAAATGGTCTAGTTGCTCCAATGACCCTTGATTTTGGGAGATTTCCCATGATATATTTAGGGACCGAAGGTTTTGCACGAATACATATGACGCATCTCCGGATGATCTTTCGTACCTGGTTGCGATCGTCTATAAGCCAGTACTTCTGACGGATGGCATACAAGGTTGTCTGCCCTCCAGAATGTAGGTGCGAGATATGATAATGTCGGATGACGAGTTCCGAAACGTGATTGTTTTTGGGTAGAATGATTGGATGTTTCTGGTTGAAAGAAATTGTTGAGTTCTGTAACCTTCCTCCTACTCGCAGTATTCCTTCTTGATCAATGAATGGATTTAATGGTGTCATATGCTTTGATTTTGGTCCGTTGGGTCTTGATTGATGTTTGACTTGTGCCAATTCTGTTGTAAAGGCCCCTTCTTGTACTTGTTTTATGATCTAAGTATGAGCAGCGTGAAGCTCTGCAGCTGTCAATGAAGATCTCCTGGTGTCGAAGAGACTTGTTGCTCTGCTTGAACCTGAAACAAACAACTACTGCACGGACAAGTGTTCGAAGAGATGAGAATCTAGAAAAATCAAAGGAATTAACTGTGGTGGCCAAACAGATTAGTTTAGCCTCAGAATCCTCAGTGGGTGGTTCGACGATATTTGGTGGCCACGTGCCCTCATGGTTTGTTAACCAAGAAGGCCCGCGGTACCATATTGTGTTTTTTGTGAATTCGGTTGGTTGTTGTCCCCGGGACAAGGCGTCAGCGGGGTTGGCTCTGGATGGGATATGTCTCCATTGATATTTTTTCATGTTTTCTTGTATTTCGGTTACTTGGTTAGCAACGAATGTTTTCAGCTTGTTTGGTTTAGTTTTAATCCAATGCAGTGTGATTGTGGAATCACACCACAGGATGGTTTGTGATATGTTTATTGTTAATGCTTGGTTTACGGTTTTGTATAGTTTAGTGAGGAGATGGACTCCGCACAATTCTAGTCTGGGAATGGAGATGGATTTAATTGGAGCAACTTTGGATTTGGAACATAGTAAAGTAATTTGTGTTTGGGTGAATGAGTCGGTGGATCTGAGGTATATGCAGGCCCTGTAGCCAGTTTCGCTGGCGTCGTAAAAGCCGCGCATTTGTATATCGTTGGATTTGGATAGGACAGCCTTACGGTGGAATCGCAATTCATCAATGGCGGGTAACTGTTCGCAAAATTCGTTCCAGGTAGTGTACAGACTAGCCGATGTGGACTCATCCCAATCCAACCTAGCCTCCCACAATCCTTGAATTATCGACTTGGCCTTAAGAATCACCGGACCAACCAATTCCAATGGGTCAAAGATTGCGGCTATATCGGAAAGGATAAGTTCGTTTGGTGGTTGTACTGTTCGGATGGATTGCTTTAGTTTTGTAGGTGATTCTGTCGGTTTGGGCGTTCCAAAATAGTCCCAATACCTTTATCGAGCGATCATCGTTTAACTGCAAGTTTTGGTTGATGTGTTCTGGAGGAAGATCCTGTAAAAGTTTTGGCTCGTTTGACGCCCATTATCGGAGATTCAAGCCTCATTGTTTCAACAAATGGGTTATTTTCTTGACGAGCTATAATCGCCTCGTCAACTGATTTAAAGCCGGTTAGTAAATCATCAACATAAAAATCGTTCTGTAGTATACGGGCTGCAGTCGAATACTTATCTGTCCCTTCAGTGGCTAATTGGTGGAGACATCTGATAGCCAAAAACGACGCTGGTGATAGACCGAAGGTGACGGCGTTCATCTCGTAAGTAGTTATTTTTTCATCATCGCTACGCCACAAATTTCGTTGATATCTCCTGTCTTCCTCTCGAATCAAGAATTGTCGGTACATTTTTTCAATGTCTCCAGTTACGACATAATCATGCTGCCAAAATCGTAAAAGATGTGTTAAGAGGTTGTCTTGAATTGTTGGTCCTATTAATAATGCTTCATTCAACGAAATTCCCGAAGATGATTTGGCAGAGCCGTCGAAGACGACTCTGAGTTTCGTGGTCAAACTGTGCTCCTTGATCACGGCATGGTGAGGTAAATAAGATCCAGGTTGGGTGGTATCCGAGGCTATGGACAAATGGCCTAGTTCAAGGTATTCGTGAATCACAGCGGCATATTGTTTTTTGAGAGGAGAGTCTCGATTCAATTTCTCTTCTAAGGCGTAAAAACATTTAAGAGCTCTTTCTCTTGATTCTTCTAACATGCCTTGTTTCCAATTAAAGGGTAGTGCTACGACTAGTCGACCGGAAGAATCTCGGCGATAATGAGAAATGAAATGGTTTTCAGCTGTTTGTTCTTCTCGTGTTCTCAAAGTGCGTTTTGGTAATTATTCAATCTCCCAAAAACGGCTAAGATCATTATCCAAATCAGATACGCGGCATAGGTGTAGAGTCGATTTGGTTCGTTCGGCAATGCTACCTCCGGGAACCCATCCCAGTCGCGTCTTTTGCAGGTATAATTCTCCGTCATGGTTGCGGGATATATTATATTGTTCTATACAGAAGAGGGACAAGGTTGGCCCTGCACCCAGTAGCATGTCGATTGGCGCGGTTTGTAAAATTCTGGGTCTGCCAACTTTATGTTTTTTGGAATTTTTATCGTTTCCCGAGGAATGATCTGACTAGGTGCGAAGTCTGATATTCTCGAGACAGTTAAGAAGGTCATGGATTTTTTGTATTTGCCAACCCTTGATTGTATCCAAGCGGTTACCGAATGTTTGGTGTAGGTAGGGGTGTCGTTTAAAGTGCCAACTGGAGTTATACATCGTTTCTTCGGTAATCCGAGTCTAGTGGCCAAGCGTTCTGTGATAAAATTCGCTGATGAGCAAGTGTCGAGAAGAGTTCTGCATGGTACAGGTTGTCGATGTTTATCAAGGATGTCTAGAGTTGCACTAATCATAATTTGTTGATTTGAAATGGCGTTGGTCAAACTGATCGTCCCAACGGGTTTCTTTAATTGTCATTCCTTTGCATGATTTTGCATTGATGTGCTTCGCTGGTGATGACCGGCTCCGTTTACAGGTGGTTTCTCTGAGTTAATAGCCTTATGCAGAAGGGTGTTGTGACGGCCTTCGCATACCCAACAGTTGATGTGGGAATGACAATCTTCCACCTGATGATTGTCCCTCAAACAGTTAACGCACATCCTGGCATCGTTAATGATCTTCAGACGTTGTGTTGGTGACGAAGTTTTAAATTTCTCGCATCTAAATAATGGATGGGGGGCCCTCTCCTGGCATACGAAACATCTCCTTTCGGTATAACTGGCGAAGGCTTGATTATAAGAACGTTTTGATGGTTTCCTTGAAGGCTCTTGAGAGTCATTGGTATGGAGAGATTTGTCGTTTTGTCTGTTGATCAATCTAGATGCTCGTGAACTGAGGAATTCGAGCATATCTTCTAGTTTTGGAAAGACACCTCTTTTGAGAGTGTTATTCCATTCATCACCAGTGGTTTCGTGAATCTTTCTCTTTAAAATAGTTATGACGATTTCATGTGACACGTTTATATTCATTGATTTGAGGGCTGCTAAATGTTGTCGCGTATCGTCTGCTAGCTTCGTTAGGCCTGCGGCTGTTTCCTTCCCTTGAACTGGCAAACTTAAGAGGAGGTTTAGATGTCGAGAAGCAATGATTCGGGTATCCGAGTAAGTTTGTTCGAGCAGTCTCCAAGTTTCGTCGTAATTTTCTGGTGTAATGGCGAACATTTTCACTTTATTGTAAGCTGGCCCCGTAAATGAGCGTCGTAGGTGCGTCAATTTGTCTACGACATTAATATCGTCTTGATTGTGAATCATGGCGTCAAATTCGGATTTGAACGATATCCAACTTTCGTAATCGCCGTTAAACGTAGGTAGGGTAGGCTCTGGTAATTTGAGTCTTCTACGCCCCATCGTGCTAGTGGTGACCGACTCAGTCTCAGTCCTTGAAGAATGACCCTCGTTGTTTGTTCCAAAGAGTCGCCCGGATTCACCACGAGCGATGGCCATGAATCTCTCATATTCAGCGAGGTTTTCATAGTAGCCGCTCTCAATTGCACACCGCGTTTCCATGCTGTGATGCTCAGACACAGGATCAAGGCTTGCGAGTTCATCGATGACATTTTCGAAATTCTTAAATGTTTCTTGATACTTGTGAATACGTTCCGTAATTTTTTGGGTATCGATTGTCTTGTTCAGATAAATGGCTAAGAAGTTTTTTGTTACCGCATTGTGGGCCTTCCAAAATCGGAGTTTAACTGTTATTGACTCAATTTTTTCAATAATTTCTTGGGTATTTGAATTACAATTGATGGGTTGGGCCATCTCACTAAAGTTCTCTAATGGGTTTTGTTCTTGACTTTCGTAGCCGGCTCGAAGGACCAATGTCGCCGCGTATAGGCACGCCAGGCTACCTTTTTCCACTTGGGTTATTCTTCGATGAGTAGATGATACACTTTGATGGATCACTAATTTTATTTCTTTCCTGCTCTATGGTTTTACAAGGACTGACACTAAACTACATAACTCTAAACGTTCGCTGAATATATCGCAAAGGATGGGTAACACTCCCATTACTGGTAATCGTCGCTAAAATCTGTGCCTATCAAAACGGGCTCGTAATCCTCCCCATTCGACCTCTCACAAACTACAGAATTTAGGATTCCGGTACGGAACACCTGTAAATCATTAAATTATCACGTAAATGAGCACCCGTGAACATAAGAAAGACTTCTCTTATCCGAGTTTATTATAAACGTAAATCGGAGTGACACATATGAATTGATTTCATTCGAAATAGGTATCCAAAACGAAAAACCCCATTTCCATTTCGTATTTGAAATAAGAACAATAAACTATTATGGATTTCAAATTTTAAATAGATTTTGAATCTATTTGCGTTTGAAATTAAATACTCCCAGAGAAATGAGAATATTAGAAAAGAGTCGATTAGAATGATACTTGTTCTATCGACTGCATCAACTCTCGAAAAAGTTAAACATCACGTGTAATTCGAAATAGCCACATTGGCAAAAACAGATGAGATTAAATTGTTTACTTGCATTTTATATACAAATACAAGTCATAAAATTACGTGTCCGAAAAAGGCATGGACAACGGAGGGTTAACATTACGACTAGATGGCACAGTTAATTCCAGACGACATTGCTCGCGAAGGAATTGATCCTTCATTCCCTCTGTTAATTACTTGATCGCGGTCGCTGCAAAATGACAATTCGCCTTGCGAGCCGCGGAAGGAAGGGGCGATAAGGCCCGAGGGTGAACAAAGGCAAGCGAGAACGCCGTCAGGAGGCATAAGATCCGCGAGGGGGCAACGGAGAACGCCGCTCCGGATGGGACGAGACCGTAGTGCGGGGTAGAGAGAGAGAGAGTCGTCCTCGCCGGCGTGTAGACATCGATGCTAATTCGATTATCGAGAGCCGATACCGAGACCCTCACAACAGGGAGTGGAAGACCCGAGACAGGAATTTTAAGAGTTGTAGAGAAAGCCCGGTGCCTATGCGACCCGTAGGAGTAAGAGAGAACGCCACGTCTAGGACCCTCGAGCCCCGAGCCGGCCCCGACGAAGGGAAACTTATTTTTGGTCCTCTCCTTCCCTTTTCCCTCCACGTGTCACGTTTGTCAGAAAATTCGTATAACGAAATATTGGCCATTTAAATTTACTTTGGGCTGTAACGGGACTGTTCGACCGTCGCGAAATACGCTACAACTTGTTTGCATATAATATCATATTGCAAAACTGTTAATTCGTTCCGCAATATAAAATTTTCTCTCCAATTATGGTTCAATCTTTTACGGTCGTAAGTTCAATGTGTTCATGTAATCAAATTTTAAAATTAACGAGAAATCCTGTGGTTTTCTCATTGCTTCATAAACTTGTTTTTTATAATATGGTTTTCCAGCGTTATTCGTTCAATTTGTGCATACTTCAAACTTTTGACTACATTTTACAGTACTGTGTTTGAGGTCAGGTTGAGAAAAATTAAACTATCAATTTTCTAGCAATTGATTTCCTTTTCAGTGTATTGGTCGGGGCGAATCGGGAAAAGATGGTTAGAAACTGCGTTAAGCAGATTGGCCATCGAGTGTATAAAAATGACACCCACGATATCTTTGAGACTGCACTCGAGCGAGAAAAACGGGACCAAATAACTTTGACAGATACTAAAGAAATTTATAAAGTTTTATATTGGCTGCTTATTTTTAAGGAGAATAAAATGTATTTTAAGACATTCACAAAGACTAGCATTTATGTTTTCTTTCATGAATTTCTAGATTTATGTTGTTTTACTTCTGCGCGGGAAAAAAATGAGTAAATTCAACTCATTTTCTGAGTTAAATATGGCGATTTCAATAAACGAGTTGGTTCAACTTACATTTATTGCAAAATCACATTTTGTAGTTGAATCAACTTGGTGACCTGCATTGTAATCCGCCATTCAAAAGCGGGTGAAGACGTACAATGTTACGTCTGGGAAAATTGAAAAAAAATTCCGGCAGTGGGGCATGAAAATGACTTAAATTCCCGATTGTGGGGTTTGGAAGGAATCTCTCATTGTAGGAAAGAGAAACCCATGTTTTAGGGAAAGGAGTAGGGTTAGGAAAAAATCTCTTATTGGAGGAAGGGGTTGAAAAAAAAGTTTTTAGGAAGAGGAGTTCGGAGCGAAGAATTTAGGAGAAGTGTCCTCGGGAGACGGAAGTTAATATTTACATTTCTGGGGACAAATTGTTAATGTCACCGTTCTGCCGGGATTTGCGAGCTCGCCCGTGCAAGGGTAGTATCCGTCATCACGTGTCCCCTTGTCATATATTTTGAATATTATGGGGAGCAGCTCGTCTCGAGGTCTTCGGGACCCCTTTTGACTTATCTACTATTTACGTAGCGTGGTAACAGCCTGTCGCGAGAAATAAGATAGGGGGCCCTCGGTTGTGTGGATTGAAAAGAATGAATTTTAGACTCGATGAGTCTATTATTTTGAAGAAAAAAAATCCTGGGCCTCCCGGGCTAGTTCGATACGCGGGCCGATGCAGGCGCAGGGAGCGTTACGTGGGACGTAACAACAAACCCTGGAAGGGGTATAATCGTTTTATTACCTTGCGGCGGTATGACCTTTTTCCTGTTTACCCTGTCGATGAACACGGCGAGAACATCGGCGAAATAGGAATAACTATTATCAATACTAACAACTGCAATACCGTCACACG